CTGGCTTCAACTTGCGATTGATGCCGTGTCGTCTTGGGCCACCGATCATGGCTTCAAGTTCTCTTCTACTAAGACTTGTGCCATGATTTTTACTCAGAAACGGGTCGTTCTTCGTCCCTCTTTGTCACTTTATGGTCATCCCCTTGAGTACAAAGATTCTGCGAAGCTTTTGGGGTTATTCTTTGACACTTGTTTGTCCCGGTCTCCCCATATCTCTTACCTCCGTGTTGAGTGCTCTAAGGCCCTTACTCTCCTTCGGGTATTGTCCCATACTTCTTGGGTAGCGGATAGGCGCACTCTCCTTGCTTTACATTCTTCTCTCGTCCTGTCTAAGCTCGATTATGGTTGCCCTGCTTACTCATCTGCTTCACCTTCTACTCTTCGCCGTCTTGATGCTTTGCACCACACTGGGTTGCGCCTCAGTTCTGGTGCCTTTCGTTCGACTCCCGTCCTCAGCTTGTATGTTGACACTGTCTTCCTGTCTCTCCAGGACCGCCGTGATCGCTACTGTCTTCGCTATCTTGCACGATCCTTGCAACATCCTTCCTTTCGCCTCTGTCGTGCTTTAACTTTTACCCCTCCTGCTGTTCCTGTTCCTCTTCACCACCTCCCTCTTTCTGTCTGGTTATCTCGCTTACAAGATTTTCTTTCCGTTCGTATTTCTAATATTTCTCCCCATGTTGTTCCTTCTTTGCCCCCGTGGAGAGTAGTCCCCTTTCACAGTTTTGTACATCCTTGACCTACATCACTAATGCTTTTACCCCTCATACGGTTCTAAAACGCCTTTTCCTTGAGCACTTTTCTTCTCACTCGCACTCTGTTTCCGTCTTCACCGATGGGTCTAAGTCTGCGGACAGTGTTGGCTACTCTGTTGTTTTTCCTGATCACACTTATGTGTCGCTTACCTCCGGAGACTAGCATCTCCACAGCGGAGCTTTATGCTATTTTCTATGTTCTTCGTCTCCTGCTCTCTCGTTGTCAATCTTCCTTTGTAGTTGTTGTTGACTCTCGTAGTGCCCTCATGGCTCTCGTGTCCTTTAATCCGGTTCATCCAGTGGTTGTCGAGATCCAGCATTGGCTGTTTCTTGTTCACAGTAAATTTAAGTAGGTTGAGTTTTGTTGGGTTCCCAGCCATATTGGTGTGTCTTTAAATGAGCGTGCGGATACTGCCGCCAGGAAAGCTGTCCGCTCTTGTCCCATCTCTCATTAAGGCATTTCTTATTCCGACTTTTACCCGGTTATCCATTCCTCCATCCTTACCCGTTGGCAGGCTTGTTGGTTGTCTGTTACTGGTAACAAACTACGTTCTCTTAAAGGTTGTGTGTCCTCGTGGCCGTCCTCCTGCCACCGTAACCGGCGATGGGAAACGGCGCTGGCGACTTTGCATATTGGCCATACTCGCTTAACTCATGGTCACTTGATGGAGCGCCGCCCTGCTCCTTATTGTCCTAATTGCATTGTCCCTCTGACGGTCGTGCATATCCTTGTTGAGTGTCCTGACTTCCGGGACAAGCATGTGTCTTGTTTTCCGACTGTCCCCCACGGTCGCTTGTCTCTCGATAGTATTCTTGGTGACTCGGGTACTTTTGATATTGTTCACCTTATGCGTTTCTGTTCTCATATTGTCGTCCTTGGTGATATTTAGCGCCCTCTGATTATCCCGCACATTTGATGGTGCTACATAGCCTTCCCGGTTTGGTGCCTTCTTTTTGATAATTACTTACTTACTTTCTGTTGTGTTTGTCATTTCAGTTAATGTTTACAAGTTTTTGAGACAGGATTTGTGTTCTTTGAACTTGTACTTATTTTTTTTATCAAGTTCATTCAATTCTGATGTTTAGTATATCTTCCTTGCATTCCTGTTACTCACCCTGCAAGGAATACATGTAAGGGGCACCTGTCTGTACAGTTGTGTGGTTGAAGTCTTCCGTGAGAGAGTCATAAGAACATAAGAAGAACATAAGAACAAAGGTAACTGCAGAAGGCCTATTGGCCCATACGAGGCAGCTCCTATTCTATAACCACCCAATCCCACTCATATACTTGTCCAACCCGTGCTTGAAACAATCGAGGGACCCCACCTCCACAATGTTACGCGGCAATTGGTTCCACAAATCAACAACCCTGTTACTGAACCAGTATTTACCCAAGTCTTTCCTAAATCTAAACTTATCCAATTTATATCCATTGTTTCGTGTTCTGTCCTGTGTTGATACTTTTAATACCCTATTAATATCCCCCCGGTTATGTCCATTCATCCACTTGTAAACCTCTATCATGTCACCCCTAACTCTTCGCCTTTCCAGTGAATGCAACTTAAGCTTTGTTAATCTTTCTTCATATGAAAGATTTCTAATTTGGGGAATTAACTTAGTCATCCTACGCTGGACACGTTCAAGTGAATTTATATCCATTCTATAATATGGCGACCAAAACTGAACTGCATAATCTAAATGGGGCCTAACTAGAGCAAGATATAGCTTGAGAACCACACCAGGTGTCTTGTTACTAACGCTGCGATTAATAAATCCAAGTGTCCGATTTGCCTTATTACGAACATTTATGCATTGATCCTTTTGTTTAAATTCTTACTAATCATAACTCCCAGATCCCTTTCGCAATCCGACTTCGCAATCACAACACCATCTAGCTTGTATCTTGTAACTCTATCATCATTACCTAACCTCAGAACTTTACATTTATCAGCATTAAACTGCATCTGCCAATCCTTTGACCATTTCAAAACCCTATCTAGATCAACTTGAAGTGATAGTGAGTCCTCCTCCGAATTAATTTCCCTACCGATTTTCGTATCATCGGCAAATTTGCAAATGTTGCTACTCAAACCTGAATCTAAATCATTTATATATATTATAAACAACAGAGGTCCCAGGACAGAGCCTTGAGGCACTCCACTTACAACATTTTCCCACTCTGACTTGATTCCATTTATACTAACTCTCTGTTTTCTTTGGTATAGCCATGCCCTAAAGTCTAGATCAATTCTTGATCTAGACTTTAAAGTCTAAAGTCTAGATCAATTCCTACTTGCAACTGATGCAATCTTCTCTATAACAGTTGTTGTTTTCTCTCGTTGCTTCAAGGGTTATGTACAGCCCTCTACTCTTATCTACAGTAGAGGCGGTTCTCCCAGTTATTCCTGGGAGCGTCCCGGCCAGTAGAGCGGGGCTTACGGGAACGACTGGGTGTGCGTCTCCTGATGTTAAGGGGGCATAAGTAAGGAAATTAAAAGTTGTTTATTTTCTAAAGTAGTGTGGTTATGAGTGTGGTTATGATTGTATACGGTTTGTCTGGTATCTATGTTTTGATTATTAATATTAAGCCAAAGGGATTAAGTGCTGAGTTATGTTCCTTTTACTTGTATTTTTAATTGTACCCTCCACAGAATAGACTGGAGTTTCATTATTTTTAATATAGTTGTTTAATTAACTAATCCTGTAGTTAGCAGTTGTAGGGAATAGGTTAATTAGGAGCTTTGGAAGCTGCTTCTAGGAACACGACTTTATGAAGTGCGAGTGGTAACAATGTTGTCACTCTAACCTTCACCAGGGGAACGTCACTTTTAGCCAGCCGGACGTAGTAACTAAGAAGAATTTGAACATCAGAATAGTTTAATTTTAAGGCATTAGGTACAAGGTTAGCAGACGGGGCACACAGAGCTAGAGCTCACTCCTCGATGGACACTTAGGTCAGCACTGCTAGAGTGAGGCGAACGTGGCTGATAGGGACACGACTACGTGACTGCTATGAGAGTCTAGCGGACGTGACTGCCATAAGCAAATGATGGCGAGGTGTGACAAGTGAGTGACAGCCTCTTGAAGTGGTCGAGGGTCTCGTGGTCGAGTGACAGCTCACGTGGTCCGGGACCTATGTGAGGAGCGTATCAGACTGTGTCGTGCTTTACTGATAGCGGCTGAGAGGCTTCAGCGGGATGGCTTCAAAAGGTGGGAAGTAACGATGAAAATATTGACTGACAGACCCACAGGAAAACAGCTTGTCGCTTCTCCTGGAGACTTAGGCATACGTCACGAGTATGGCCGGGTGTAAATAGAAACTGCCTCGCATATGTTAACAGATCTTGTGTAATTTCCTCTATCCTTATGGTGTTCTCGAGCTCATCTCACGAAGTGGGTAAACATTAAGCAACTTGCACCTGGGAGAGTAGAGAGAACATGCTCAGTGATGGTCAGGTGAGCAGCCCATTGTCTTGATCCGCCACAACGTACAAAATATAAAGTTACTAACCAACCAGAAACATACAAACCCATACAACCAACCTGACCTAACCTGCCGATGCATAGAAATTGTAGATAATTTGTCATAGTACTTTGTAATATGTACGTTGAGGACCATAATGTCCAAAATGAGACGTAGTAGCTGAAAGGCTGGGATACCAATGGGAGAATAGGCCTATACGTGCCAACTGTTGGCCGCCGTACGTCACTTCTGGGCATCTCGACTCATGCATGTGCCAACGGTCGTCGGGAGTCGACGACAGTAACCAAACGCCCTTAATAAATATCACTTAATATTTGACTATGTATAAATGTAAGTGGCCGGGCGCCGCCTCTCCAGCTGCAGCCTGTCCTCCTGGTTACATAGTACTTTTTGTAACTTTGTACACCATCGTCCACACACAGACGTAATGAACAATTAATAGAATTTGGTACTATTCACACGAGTCCGGAAAAAATTTAACTAAAAACTAAATTTATATTTTCCTAGGCCTACTACATCACATACGTATTATATTAGGCCTCAGCGTGTATTAGGCCTAGGATGATTAAATTAGGTAAGGTTTTATTAGGAACAAATACAAAACCTTCTCTAGTTTGTCCAAATTCTATAGTACCAAATTCTACTTTCTAATTGTTCATTATGTCAATATATATACAATGGTCCACATTGTTACGCATACATTAACATGTGTGTTGTTGTGACGTCATATTAACACACGCATGGTGTTGACATATTCACAGATCAGTTGCTGGACCTCCCAGAGTCTGCCTGCCGACGACATTCCAGCTCCGAGGACGACCGGCGTGCCACCACCCTCGACCGTGACTCCCGGGCGCGACCCCACGACAAGGAAAAGAAAGGCCATCGCTCAGCATGGGGCAAGGTAGGTCAGCTGGGGGTTCTCCATTTTCTGTTGGTTACGTTCTTCTCCCAGTTTGACAACATTCTGTTGGAGAACATAACGTGTTCTCTCCCATTGTTCTTTGTAAGACCATAAGTGTGTTCTCCCTGACCAGGTAAAGAACATGATAAGCACGAGGCGGGACAGTGTAAGAAAGAAGTCTACGTCGTCACACCGCAAGTCAACAGTAGATCGGCCAGGCCACGATGCCCACACCGGCGTCACCGTCGAGGTCTCCGCCGCCTCCGACCCAGAGGTGAGTCGATATGTCCTGCCACCCAGTGCTGTCATGTAGGCCCTCTATAAACACGTAGGGTCACGGAGGTCGCTGATGTCTGAGCAGAACACATCCTCTCTAGGGTCAGGTCAGGTCATGGATGATCTCCAGCAGACGTTCGGTAAACATTCCGCTGAGGGCCCCCACCCCTAGTCACAGAAAACTATATTCTGAAAATATAAACTGAAGACGACCTGCAGTCGTCGGGGGGACGACCGCCGGAGGACGACCGTCCGCCGGTCGTCCTCAAAAACTATGTAGGGTCACAGAAAACTATATTCTTAAGTATCATATTATCTCCTGTAAATGTCTTACTCTATGGAATAGTCCAGGTCCTTGCAGCTTTGTGACGGTAACCTTGTAAACTCTGCTAAACTAGCCATAACTGAAAAAAAACTGCTGATGTTTATGTTAACTAAATGCAGTTAGGTCATCAGTGGTGTAATTAGGTTAAACAATATTGGGGTTGAGTTTGTGAGCCCATTATGTGCATATATGTGTCTTACTCGTGTACCGTGCTATATAAGTGACCCATTTTGTACACACACGCATGCATCAGCTTCACCAGGAGGCAGGAGTCACACTGCAATTGACTTCAAAAATATCTATTAGATATTCTTAAAGAATATCTATTAGATATGCCTAAATATTGGGAACAGATTGAGGGCTGTAAGTGGTGTCCCAGAATACATGAAGGTATAGGAAAATTGAAAGTAACCAAGATACAAGAAATAAGTAAAAGTGAGTGAAAAATCTGTGTTGGAAAAGTTTATATTTCAAAACAGAAGAATGTCAACACCAAAGATGGCCGCCACCACAGGGGAGGACAACACACCAATAGATAAATGTTTAAAAGGATTCTCAGCACAGGATATAATGAAAGGTTTTCTTGGCAGGCTAGTGATTATTGAGAACCTGCTAACGAATTATGATGAAAAAGTAATTAAATTCGAACAAGAAAATGAAGGTCTCAAGATTGAGCTTTGTAATTTAAAAGTATTTTCCAGCAAGGTAAGAAAATTGCCAGCTTGACTAATAAGGTAAAGAAACAGGAGGTACAAATCAAGGAACTAGTGGAAGCAAATGAGATATGGAAAGAGAAGATTGGTGAATTTGAAAAAATTAACAAGAAAATACACACACATTGTGAGCAACTCAAAGTAACCCTACAGACTAACATGGAGTTAGGCAAGGATATGCTAAAAGGACTTCATTGACAACTCAAATAAAGAAGGTTAATAGAGGACTGGAAAAGTGCTAAGAGGAATAAAAGAAACATGTGTGCAAGTTATAGAAAAAAAATGATGAAGGAAATGTGTTTGGATGTAAAGACCAGAAATGACCAACAAGAAGCAAACATTAGACAAGCAATTAGGAAAGAACTGGTTACCAACAGTAAATTAGTACAAGAAAACGCAAATAGAAGTAAGTCCATAATAATTGTTGGGTGTTTAGAAAAGGAAATATCATTGAGGGTGAACAGAGCAGCAAAAGAGATAAAAACCATTGAGAAAATAGTAGGTTTGGGAGAAAGCCTCACATCAAAGTAAAATGTGTGATTTTAAGAGGATAAGAAAATATGAGAAAGACGAGTATCGACCCTTAAGCATGACATTTAATGGAATGAAACAAATGACAGAAGTGCTTAGAAATGCCAGGAAATTGCAGAGTGATGAGCATCGGAAACATTGCTCATTAAGACAAGACCTCTGAAAGGAAGACAGAGAAAAGCTAAAACTAAACCTTGATGAACTAAAACGTCTAAATGGGATTAGAAATGATGAAAGAAATTCTTTATTCTACAAAATGTCAGGGACTAGAAAGCTAGTGAAATGATACATAAAAACAAAGCAACAAAATCATTAGAAGGAAGGAGGAGTAAGCGACAAAAGGAAAGGGAACATATTCCCGAAAATTGCATATACCAACATAGATGGAGGGAGATCAAACATACTATAGCTAAAAGATATAAATCAGCTTAGAGTCCCAGATATTTTCACACTAACGAAGACTAAACTTGAAGAAAACAATTTAAATGAGGTCATATTCCCAAGGGGCTACTCAGTTTGGAGATGTGACAGGAAAACCAGAAAGCGGGAGGAGTGGTTGTGCTGGTGAAAGAACACATGAAGGCAAGAGTTAATAATCGACAACCCTCGAAGTTGACATATTGACATTGCACGTTTGTAATCAGAATGATAAACTGATAATCATAAATGCCTACAACCCACCAGCAAGCAACATGAGGACAAAGGAGGAACTAGATAAATGTGAGGGGCCTCATAATGGTCATGAGAGAGATTATAATAAAAGCAGATAAAGATAAATCACGATTGTTTGTAATGAGGGACTTCAACTTGAAAGCAATAGACTGGGAGGCCTACGGAGCAAGAACGCAGAACATTTGGACAGGCAGACCTAATTCTGGAGACATTCATGTATCAACACGTTGAGCAGACCACATAAATGAGGGAGGGGGATGTTCCGTCTATACTAGGTAATATTAACCAGGAAAGATGAGGATATATTTGACATCCAGTACCTTCCTCACTTGCGAAAGAGTGATCATGTTCTGTTGTCAGTTAAATATGGTTTATGATATAATCTAGAAGTGAATGGGGACATTTAAACAACTGATAAACTTAATTTCAAGAGAGGACACTATGGGGAACTTAGGAAAATCTTTAATTAATTAAATTGGAGACTTGTTTCTAGGCAAGGAAGTAAATGAGATGTATGCCAAAATCTGTGAAATATGTGACGAGGGTACACAAAAAATCATACCAAAACAGATGCAGAACCAGAAAACAGGATTGGTTCAAAAAATTGTGAGAGGGCCAGACAGGAAAAGACAAGAAAATGGGTTCAATATAGGAAGAGGCAAAACCCTCAAACATACCAGCACAACAAGCAAGCAAGAAACAAATACACAGCAGTGAGAAGATAGGCAGAAAGGAACTTTGAGAAAGAGGTATCAAACGTGTAAAACAGATCTAGGCCTATACTATAAATTCATTAAAAGCAAGCTGCATATAAAGGATAAATCCCAGCACATTGAGAATTGGGAGCAGGTTCACTAAGAATGAAAAAGAAATGTGTGAAAGACTAAATGAACAGTTTGAAAGTGTGTACAAAATGAGGATTTCAGAGATCCAGACGCAATGACAAGTCCAGAACACGCCATAAAATACAGAGGTATCTCAAGACGAAGTGGAAAAATTACTCAAGGAGCTAGGAAGAAATAAAGAAGTTGGACCTGATGGAGTTTCACCTTGGGTGCTGCGAGAATGTGCAACTGAGCAAAGAATTACACTCTAATTAATATTTCACACATACTTGTGCACAAGAATATTAGCAGATATATGGAGAAAGACGAACATGTTCCAATTTATAAAAATGGTAGCAGAGAAGACCCCTTCTAAATTATAGACCTGTATCATTAACAATCGTGGTAGTCAAAACACTAGAAACAATAGTTAAAGCCAAATTGGTAGAACACCTGGAGAGTAATGACATAATAACGGACAGGCATTATGGATTTCGAACAGGAAGATCCTGTGCAACAAATCTACTTTGTTGTTATGATAGAGCCACAGAGTTACTACAGGAAAGAGGTGGTTGGGTTGACTGTGTCTATCTGGACCTAAACAAGGCTTTTGACAGAGTCCCACGCAACAGGTTGTTCTGAAAACTGGAACATGCTGGAGGAGCGACTGGAAGACTTCAGACATGGATGAAATTTTTCTAAACGACAGACAGATGAGGGGAGTAATCAGTGGCACTGTATCTGATTGAAGGAGTGTTACTAGTGGAGTACCACAGGGTTCAATTCTTACACCAGTAATGTTCATCGTTTACATAAACGATCTACCAGAAGGAATACAGAATTATATGAACATGTTTGCAGATGATGGTAAGATACTGGGGAAGACAGGAGACGCAGGCGATTGTAATGCCTTTCAAATTGATAAGATAAAATACGTGCTTGGAGCAACATGTGGCAAATGGAATTCAATTTGAATAAATGCAATGTTATGAAATATGGAATCTGAGAAAATAGATGACACACAACTTACAAATTATATGGAAAAGAATTAAACAAATAAAGAATGAGATGTAGGGGTGGTTTTGGATTGTAAGCTGTCGCCAGAGGAACACATAAAGAACATTGTGAGAGGAGAGTATGCTTTGCTTTCAAACTTCAGACTTGCTTTTAATTATATGGATGCTGGCTCTCATCTTCCTCAATCTTTCCTTCTACATAAACCTGTCCTTGAATCTCGTCCTTTAGATTTTTGCACTCATCTCCGACTTCCCTATAACGATCCCTTCTCTCTCTCTGAACTTCGGTCTGCCCTGGCCCTCTGCGGTTCTACGGGGGCGGGCTCGGATGGATTTCATTGTGAAATGCTTCGCCATCTCCCTCCATGCACATCTCGGTATTTACTGAATCTGTATAATCGGATCTAGGACTTGTGGTCAGTTCCTGAGGACTGGACCGATGCCGTTGTCCTCCCTGTTCGCAAACCGGGGTCTCTAGGGACTTCCCTTAAGGACTTTCGCCCTATTGCCCTCAGGAGTTGTGTCTGCAAACTCTTTGAGCGTATGGTTAACGTTCGTCTGATGTGGTTCTTAGAACATTATCACCACCTCTCCCCTTCTCAAGTTTGTTTCCGCAAGTGCCGCAGCACCTCAGATGTCCTGGTGAATTTGGAGGTCTATATTCGTACTGCTTTTGCTGCAAAGACCTCTGTTGTTACTGTCCTTTTTGACCTGGAAAAGGCTTACGACACCACTTGAAGATATCATATTCTGTCCCAACTTCATTCTTTTGGCCTTCGTGGTAATCTCCCTCTCTTTCTCCAAGGCTTCCTCTCTCGTCGTTCCTTTCGGGTGAGGCTTGGTACCACTCTCTCTGCCTCTTTTCAGCAATATGAAGGTGTGCCCCCAAGGTAGTGTTCTGAGCACTACCCTTTTTC